TGTTGAAATTGTCATAAAAATTTGTCCTGTGGAGAACATTCGAGGCCGGACGCCCAATTAATTACCCTCCTCTTCCCAATCTCCCCAATCCCTGAATCCCCAACAATCCTCAAATTCCTAATTCCCAAAAGTCCGGTAACGCACTTGTAATGTCTCTGGTGTTGCGGGTGTCCATAGACGACACCGATTGCTTACCATCAAGTGATCCGTCCGCTCGTTTACTGGCTTATCCCATAAAAACACATGTACATTATTTGATGTCATTTTTGAAACATGATGCCTATTTATTGAAGACACCTTTTTACTCAGATTGCAGAATTAAAACGAGGGGCAGAAATGATAGTGTGTACTCCAGGCCGTATGATCGACATGTTGGCTGCCAACTCCGGCCGAGTGACCAACCTGCGCCGCGTCACATACATAGTGCTGGATGAAGCTGACAGAATGTTCGATATGGGCTTTGAACCTCAGGTAAGGAAGGAAGTAGCAATGGCGATCCTTTACAATATTCGTTAACATATACTTCACACCCAGCCCCGAAACAACGATTTATATATGTCGGAGAAAATGCACAAATTGGGGGTACTTCGTCATCAGATTCTTCGTAAACGCGGTAAGTTCGGTACGGGCTGGCAGAACAACCGCTCACCCTCGTGTCCAACCCAAAAGTGACGCCTGTCAAATGTCAACATGCCACGCCCCGTACCGGCCATCACCCAAGCACACTGCTTGACGTTTCCGACAAATGATAACAGATGGCGTTGTTCTAAAATAACGATACTCGATAGTTGTGCATCTTTGTTGATTCTGCGACATATATATCATGTATAAAATTGCAGACACCCCACAGGTTACTCAGTAACCATAACTTTATCAATAAAGGTCTTATTAAACTGTCAAACAACAAGCGGTCACCGGTGACCGCAACCTATTGTTCTATAATTGTGTCTATAATGACGGTACTCGACGAGTTAATAAAATACTAATTATATGTATTTGGAATTACACAGGTTATGAAGATTATAGACAACGTCAGGCCTGATCGTCAGACTGTGATGTTCAGTGCTACATTCCCGAGACAAATGGAAGCTCTCGCCAGAAGGATATTGCAGAAACCTATTGAAGTACAGGTAAGAAACTCAACTATTGTCTGGATATAGATCATTTTGTTTGTCATATTGTGGAAGCACAACATAAGGAGATATAATTATACATATATCACCATACATTTTTATAATAAATATGAAATGTAATCATACTTTCGCCAGGTATAAGTCTTATCTCAAGTAATTGACATCAACTCATGCTGTAATATGAATTAAAAAAATAAAGCCCCCAATAATACTTCTCGTACTTGCTATTTGATCAACAAGGCGCCTTCATTTCATTAATTTAATCTAGTTTTTCACTAAAATACAAATAAAAGAAAATACTCTCTATACTAGGTCGGCGGCAGAAGTGTAGTTTGCAAAGACGTGGAGCAACACGTAGCTATCTTAGAAGAGGATGCGAAGTTCTTCAAGTTGCTGGAGTTGCTGGGACTGTACAGCCAGATGGGCAGCATCATCGTGTTCGTGGACAAACAGGAGAACGCTGACAGTCTACTCAAAGACCTCATGAAAGCCTCCTACTCATGCATGAGCTTGCATGGAGGTGAGACATCGACACTGTTTTTTTAATTTATGGTTTATACTGTATGGGCATTTATTAAAGAAAATGTATGGGTTAATAACATTTCAACTGGTTATAACGCTTTTGCGCAATAAGTTGTTTAGTTTGCGCAAATTGCGCAAAGTAAATATGTAGTTAGCGCATGCTTAATTCATGAGCCAAAGATCAAGCTCTTAGTATGTCACATCAAAGAATATCAAATGTTTTGTGGCTGTATTGTACAGACGTCAGCTTATCAAGCGAGCCCAAACTCTTTTGCAAAGTAATAAGGTTGCAAATGTATGTTGCAAATGCAATGTTGAAGAAATATGATAATTTGCAATTATTGGCGTCAATACTTATAAACTATTTGGCTGCTGTAATCATAAAAACTTAGTATACATATATTTAGTTGCTTTGCTCAAAACAAAATGAAATTGCAAAATATCAAAGGAATGCTTTTTAGAAGCTTACAAAATAATGGATCAAAACACTATAAGGCTATTAAATTTTCTTTTGCAGGTTGCCTCTGTCTTCGTGATATATTATATTTGTTATCTACATGAGAAATGGAATACTTCAATATAATAATAGTCCCGTTTTCTTCTATTACTCAAATAATAGTTAAAATATAATAATTATTTTCTAAGATAGGAATCAGCGTTTAGTTATGAAAGATCTACTAACGGACTATTTTGATTTCAGCGACCAAAGCGGATCTGGGGAGGCCTCGATTATAAAATAATTTAGTCTGTCGTTAATTGTAAGCATACTGCAACACTTATAAACGTTATTGTAAAGTTTTTTTTTTTTTTGTAAAAAATCGTACGTTTTTGTCATTGTCATTTGTTAATTGTCAGTATGCTTGTATTTATCGGCATAAATCCTTTTTGTTGAGTGACGAATATATTAATGGTGGCCTGTTACAGGGATTGATCAATTCGACAGGGACTCAACTATCGTGGACTTCAAGTCTGGCAAGGTGAAGCTGCTGGTCGCTACCAGCGTGGCGGCGCGAGGGTTGGACGTCAAACAACTCGTACTCGTCGTCAACTACGACTGCCCTAATCATTACGAGGACTATGTTCACAGGTGAGTTATTATTGTAAAAAATATCACATTAGCCATTCAGATCGTTTAGCCGTTTTAATGAAAATCAGCATGTTTTTCGTTAATAACATTAGATTAATTTTTCTCTCGCAGATTTACAAGTAGTATTCAGGTCTTCACGAATAATAAATACACTTTTTATACACTACCTATACCACTTCAGAAAAATATAATAAATTTAATATAATCATCGTTAAAACGATGTCATAATGTCATTAAATTATTGTAAACAAATGGCTCTGTTTTTCCTAACCAAATTCAAATCAATCTTCTTAGATGTGGTCGTACGGGTCGTGCCGGCAACAAAGGCTACGCGTGGACATTCCTCACTCCAGAGCAGGGTCGCTACGCGGGCGACGTCGTGCGGGCCTTCGAACTGGCCGGGGCGGTGCCGCCGCACGAACTCAGGCAGCTCTGGGACAAGTATAAGGATGCTCAGGAGAAGGAAGGCAAGAAAGTGCATACTGGTGGCGGCTTTAGCGGGAAAGGTAAGTTCTGTTTTAACATTAAAATAAAAATGTTATATTGTTCAACTTCATGGCAATCATAGTTGAATTATACACTTGTTAGGCTTAAATGGGATTGACAGACGCTGTGCGGTATAACAGTCCCTAAAATTGAAAAAGAAATAAAAAAAAATGTTTTTTGTGTGTGATTATTTATACTCATATAAGAAAGTTGTGTTAGTTACACTATTTATAACTCAAGAACAATTCGACTGGACCAGGAGATGGAGATAGGATACTTTATATCCAAGGAGTACATGAGAATCCTACGGGATCGGGTAAAAATGGGTTTGCGCATACGTTGCAGAAGCTTGTTGGCAATATAAGGAGTTTTGTTTGTCAGCACGTTGGCTTTTTGACAAATATGGAATAAAATCTCCAATCATCATCATCATTAATAAACACTTGTGAGTCCTTTAGATCTCCAATCACCAATAAGTTTTTAATACAAGAACATTGGTTTGTTACATTATACTAGCCTCCAAGACTTCCACTCCTGATAGACATCCTCCAATGATTTCCAGATTGTACAGTTGGAAACACAAAAGATACTAAATAAAACGAAACTTACAAATTATGGTTTCTGTTCCACATAAATCTTTACATGGGACTACATACATACTTACATACTTTTACATGGGACTCATAACATAAGTAGTGAAAAGTGGGTGTTACTTCTGTGTGCACCTCTGCCTACTCCTTCGGGGATAAAAGGCGTGATGTTATGATGATGATGATGATGATAAATCTTTACTTGTGGACGAACAAATCATATTTATTTACATAATTGTCTTTAATTTTGACCTGCAGGTTTTAAATTCGACGAATCAGAAGCCCAAGCGGCCACTGAAAAGAAGAAGTATCAGAAGGCGGCTCTCGGTCTCCAGGATTCTGATGATGAAGACGTGGAAGGTGACCTGGATCAGCAAATAGAGGTCATGCTAGCTGCCAAGAAGATTGTTAAAGAGATCAAGGTGAGATATTTTTTCATTAGAAGGAAATTAAATAATTCCATTTTTATATTTTTATTGTTATTGGGATAGCAACTTAACAAGCTAGTGTTACAAAGTGTCGCAGAAAACCTAACGGGTTACCGGGGTGCAGGAGTAGGAACGGGGTGGTTTTTAGTCAGCAAGAGTCTGACACTCCCTCTCGCCTCACCCAGGCGGGAGCAGTCATTCGATGATTTTCCTTCCCCCTAAAAAAAAAGTGTTACAAAGTAAAAACTATGTATTTGGTTTTTAGTTAACCCTCAGCGGTTTCAGCTGTTCGTTCGTGATGTTGTATTATCTATGTACAAGTTTTAATGCCAAAACAATCACTTTCTGCTTTTTTTTTTATTAGGATAAAGATTCTATAGTCGTTCGGGGCATAGCAGACAAAATAACTACGAATTAACTAAAATTTTATTTGTTTATTATTGTAAACATTAACAGAACTCTTAGTTATGAATAAGTATACGTTATCATACTACTGAAAGTAGTTTTCTGTCGTTTCTATCAAACCACGTCAGTATTTGTGTGCGTACATTATACTCACAGCAGAAACATTATAAAGAACTTCAAAGTACTCGTCGAGTACCGGTTTTGTAGACACAATTATAGAACAATAGGTTGCGGTCACCGGTGACCGCTTGGTGTTTGACAGTTTAAAACATAAACTACATATCTAAAATTGCGATTATTTTAATTTTTTTTCAGCTTACTAAACTCGATTAGTTTCAAGCCATGCTAGGGGCTCATACTCATGAGCAGCATTCCGCGTCGTGTGTCGAACAACGTAATAATTAATTTAGCATGTCTAACGAAAGTTATAAATGTTATAATACAAATATGTTTATTTTTTTTGCATATTCATTATGACAGTGTATCAATTTATCTTTATAATTAATCGTGCGCCAGTTTCCCGTGAATTATTGGCTTTTTAAATATTTATAATGATACGGATTATAATTGTTTTTGTAGATAATTATGTAATTACTTGGTTATAATCTTAGATAGAAACAATCGACAATTGTTTATACCGTGTCTGGATTTGTATCGATGTTGTGATATAGTGATAATACCTACTCGCAATATAGGTTAGCCATCCCATTTCTATTTTGAAATACTTTCGGCAAGTTGAAATACATCCCTGGCCTTATTTTGCCCACCACTGTTAGGACCGACTTTGAAAAAGTTTATAAAGTACATAACATAACATCAAGCCTTTAACCCCCGAAGGGGTAGATAGAGGTGCAAATTGCAGCGCCTAATGCCACTGTATGTAATGTAACACCCACTTTTCACTATTTATGTTATGAGTCCCGTGTAACAGGTTGCCATATACCAGGCACAATTCCCGACACCGTGTAGAATTTTTAAAAGCCCAGTAGTATTTTGCCAGGCCCTGGAATCGAACCCGAGACCCTTCGCCTGGCAGACGCACTTGCGACCAGTCGGCCCACGAGGCAGTCTGTGAAGTATATGTTGAAAGATTTAGTGAAATTGTGTTTTATTGCTTACAGCCTGGAGTAGCAGCGGCGGGAGTGGCGGGCGCGGGCGGCGCGGCGGCGGGCGCGGGCGCCGACCGCAAGCTGGAGCTGGCGCGCCGCCTCGCCGCGCACATCAACCTGTCCAAGGGACTCGGCGCCGAGCACAAGGGCGCCACGCAACAAGCTGCAGAGGCCATACTCAAGGGCGCGCCCTCGGCACACACACTTATCACTGTGAGTTAACCTTTTTGTTATGAAACTACGATAAAAGAGCGGACGTATCTCCTGATGGTAAGTGATCATCGCCCCCAAGATTAATAGAGCCTTAGCCAAACGCCACTTTGGCACTTGTCTACAGAGAGAGTACAAAACTAAACTAAAATTTACGTCAATCCCATATAATTTGGTTTTTTATTCTACAAGTAGACAAGCGCTAAATGGCATTAGGCTACAGCTGCAGGAGAGCCACAAGTATGTTTCCAGCTTTTAAGTAGTTATCTTCTTTCCATATAGGCCATGCTTTTTATTTATTCTCCAGAAGAATGTCGAACCGTATTGAAAGCAGTTGAGACACACTTAGTTTCGTTGTGAGTCCAATGTAAAGTTCATCTGGAAATATCTAATCCACAACCCTTAAGCACTGTTGGACTATGGATCTTCTCTACTTAAGAGAGATTGCAATATTCTCCATTCCTGGCAGTTGGAGATCGCTGTTAAGAAAGTTGGAGATTTATAAAGGAGGCCATACATGCTAGATTTTGCATGATAGTTTTAGCCGTGCATGCATAAGCAACAGGCAAGCCCTAGCGTGTATGTGATACGATCTCCGGCCACCGTAAGCGCGGGCCTGCGGACGGCGAGCATGGGTGGCTCCCCGTCCGACCAGAAACAGACCCGAGCGTACGGCGCCGAGCGTTCCGCGCGCGCCTCAAAGAGCCATCAGACCACCACAGATGGGGCCCAATAGGGCCGATGCCGATTCGGAGTCGCGGAGAACCTAACGGGTAACCGGGGCTCCGGCTCGACGTGCAGGAGAAGGAACGGGGTGGTTTTTAGTCAGTAAGAGTCTGACACTCCCTCCCGCCTCACCCAGGCGGGAGCAGTCATTCGATGATTTTCCCCCCTTAAAAAAAAAAAAAAAA